TAATTAAGCCTTAACCTTTAAACTATGCATTCTGGATACCTTTGAAAAAAATTTTTTTAATCCAAATAGTATTGCTTGAAGTTCACTACTAAATCCCACATAAATGGAGTAAAAATTAACTGTAACTTTTCACCAAAAATGCTTTGATTCAAGGGCATTAGAGTAAATATAGGGTAGACAAACAAAAATAATATATTCTCTTTATTTCTTTTAATACCTGCATTCTTTTTTGAACGCTTCTGCAGATACATAATCCCTACAGATATCAGCTCTGTCTAGTACAGTGTTCTGAGAAAGTACTATATGTACCAGTATATATAAAGAGTACAAAGTGGTTTCTACTCCACTTCAAATATATCACATGAGAACCAATTCCGCTATTTTAATCAATGAAATGTTATTACAGCAAACATTACAGCACAAAAGAAAATCATGCAATTTGAAAACATTATCTTGTTGGTATATGGAACAGAGTTAGAATGGCATTTGATGCACATTCTTTAAAAACCAACAAATATGATAAATAAATTACTTATGATGTCCAACTCAGAAGTGAATGCTATAATTTTAGAGTAGGGATTCTTAAGATATCTTGAAGTCTGCAGCCAGACCTCCTTCTCTGAAGCTAGGAAGGCTGTCAAATGAGAAGGAAATAATTACCCTTAGTTAGAAACCCAACAGTTCTCCTAAGTAATTTGTACTCTTAGCAGGATGTTGCCAAATATTCATACTTGTAATCATTAATAGCAAGAAATTGGGGAAATCTGAGAAATCATGTTCTAAGTGGTAGAAATATATATCAATGATTTTGGTAAATTTGAAAGTAGAAATTACAAAAACTGCAGGCATAATCTGGCAATTTTGACATGATTTATGAATAGACAATAAGGTAAAAAAAAGACATTAGGAGAAGACCTTGGCATTGTTACAAATAATATCATTATGTTATTTAACATCATCAGAGAAATCATGAGATATTAGAAAGTATGTCTAAAATGAATAAAAATATATTTAAGTAGACATTACACAAAAATCTAATAAACACACACAGAAGTATTCAGTATCATTAGTCATCAGGGAAATGCAGATTAAAACAGTGAAATAGTATTTAAAGCCAACAAAATAGCTACTATTAAAAAGACTGACAGCAACAGATGTTGACGAGGCTATGGAGCAACTAGAATTCTCATACATTGTTGATATATGTTCAAAATGGTAAAATCACTTGGGGGAAAGGTCTGCTAGTTTCTTACAAAATAAAATGCAAAGCTATCTCAAGTGGCGCAGGAATTCTTCCCTGAGGTATTTATACAAGAAAATGAGTACCTGTTTGAATAAGATTGTTCATAGGAGCTTTATTCATATTTGCCAAAATCTGGAACCAGTCTGGCTGCCCACCAATAGAACAGATAAACAAACTGTGGAATAGCCTTACGCTGGAATACTACTCAGCAATAAAATGGAACTATGAATACATACAGTAACATGGATGATTCAAAAAATATATTGTGTGAAAGAAGACTTACATAAATGGGTTCATATGAAGTTCTACAATTACTACTATAGAGGGAAAAAATCAGATGAATGGTTGCTTCTGCTGAAGATGCATATTTACTGCTGAGAAGCATGAAGGAACCTTCTGAGGTGATGGTAACATGATATACACAAAAGGGACTTGGGTTGCCCATGTGTGCATTTGTCAGAGTTTATTTTATAATATAAGTTAAAGTGTACATCTCATTATATGTAAATTTTTTCTCAAAAGAAAAAAAATGTAAACAAGCTTTGGGCTCCAGTTAATGATTTGCGTAATGAACTATTTGATGACTGCCACTTACTTTGATATATATGAAAACATATAATGAACTGGTAGATGGATAGCTTGAAATGAGATAATCCAAATAGTCAAACATGTTAATTCTGGATGGGTATTCACTGTGAAATTCTTTAAAATTTTCTGAGCTTAAAATTTTTTTATAAAATTTGGGGGGAGGGAGTTTATACAAGTTCCTTGTAAAATATTCAAAGGTTATCAGTAAATATGTTTTCCTTCCATTCCTTATATTTTTTCTTTCAATTCTTCTCTTTTGATGCCAGTACCATTACTACTTTCTAATATATCTTTCTAAAGATACCCTTCAAAGACTAGGTGAAAGACTAGATAGATGGATATAAAGCAACAGCTATTTCCTGCTGTTTCTTATTAGAAAGCTAATTTTTCATTAACATTCCTTATTAATAAAAGATCTTTAATAGAAAGTAGAAAAAGAATATCAACAAATATATAAAAAAATGAACAAATGACTAAAATTAATAGTTAACTTATGGTAGAAATACTTTTTTTGGGTAACAGCTTTACTAATATATAAGTCAAATACCTTACAACTCACATAATTAAGTATAGAATTCAATGATTTTTTTAGCATGTTCAGAGTCTTGCAACTATCACCACAATCAATTTTAGAACATTCATAACTCCATTGAAAAATCCCTACATTCGTTAGCTATTACAAATCCCCAGCTTTCCAAGCCTAAGCATCTTACCAAGCCTCTATCTCTAAAAACTTACCTACTCTAGACATTTTATATAAATGAGAACACACAAAAATACAAGCAATCTTTAGTGACTGGCTTCTTAGAACACCTAGCCTATTTTCCAGGTTTACCAGCATTTGTACTTCACTTCACTTGATGGTCAAATTATTATTCTAACACATGACTAAACTACATTTTATGTATCATTCATCAACTGATGAACATTTGGGTTACTATCAGTTTGGGACTATTATGAATTATCCTTTTATAAAAATGTACAAATTTGTTTCTTTTGGGTATATGCCTAGGAGATAAACTACATTAGATGCTGATTATTCCATGTTTAACATTTTTTTTAAGTATATTCTTTTTTAAAAAAGATTTATTTATCTATGCATAAAAGAGCTGGGGTACAGGCCAGAGATGTGGGGGGTGAGAGGATTCACCAGAGACAGAGTGGGGAACAGAACAGGCAGACTTACTGAAATACACTGCTGAGGGGAGCAGCGGGCGAGACAGGAGAGGTCTGCTGAGCCATGTGGGCTGCTCCCTGGCTGGCCGGGGATGGAACTCGTGCTGCAGAGGCTGCGGATTGCCTCATAGCGCGGTGCTTAACCTCTTGCGTCACCAGGGAGGCCCCTCCATGTTTAGCGTTTTAAAGAACTGCCGGACTGTTTTCTAAAGCAGTTGCACTGTTTTTATATTCCCACTCACAGCTTATGATGGTTCTGATTTATTATTTGCTATTGTTCATCTTTTTTATTGTAGTCATTCCAGTGAGTATGAAGTGGTACTACTTACTATGATTTTGATTTGCATTTCCTTGATGACTAATGGTACTGAGAATCTTTTCATATACTTATTGCCCACTTGAATATCTTCTCTGAAGAAATGTCAATTAACACATCCTTTTCCCATGTTTTAAACTAAGTTGCCTTTTTGAAGTTTTATCAAGTTTTTTAAATATAATGTAGATGCAAGTTTTTCCTCCGATAAATGATTTGTGCATATTTCCTTCCAATCTGTGAGTTGTCTTTTCACTTTCTTGACAGTGTCCTTTTCCTTTGATGCACAAAAGTTTATATTGAATAGTTTTGATGAAGTCCAATTTATCTTCTTCTTTGGTTGTTTGTGCTTCTGGAATCATATCTAAGATACCCTGCCTAATCCAAGATATACGCCTTTGTTTTCTTCTAAGAGTCTTATAGTTTTGTATTGTTTATACAAAGAAGTGCAGGGGGTAAGAGGATTCACCAAAGACAGAGTGGGGAGCAGAACAGGAGGATTTATTGAAATACTGAGCACTGGAAGAGACAGGAGAGGTCTACTGTGCCATATGTGGGTTAGCACCCTCACCAGGGATTAAATTCAGGCCTCAGTGGTGATACCACTGAGACTTAACCTCTAGGCCACCAGGGAGGCCCAGAGTTTTATAGTTTTAAATCTTACGTTTAGAACTATGAACCATTCTGAGTTAATCTGTGTATATGGTATGAGGTAAGGATACAATTTCATTTTTTTTTACATGTGAGTAGCTAATGGTCTAGTACTATTTGTTGAAAAGGCTCTTCTTCCCCCTATTTAATAGTCTTGACATTCTTGTTGAAAAATAATTAACCAAAAACACAAGTATATATTTCTGGGCTCTTGATTCTATTTCATAATTCTATATGTCTACCCTTACGCTACAATTTCTTGATTGCTGTCACTTTATACTCTATTTTGAAGCATTTTTCTTACTATATATTTTTCACTGAATATATTCTGAAAAACTGCTTCGTGTGATAAATAATCTATACAAAATAAATTTGCAGAGATTGGTCAAAAGAACTGTGTACTTTAAATTTTGATATAGATAGTGGTATTGGCCCTTCAGAATAGTCATACCAACATATATCCCCACCAATAATACATAAGAAAGTGTTTATCTTCTTCAATGTAATGTACTATCAAACTTTTAAATTCTAACTCGTGATCTTTCTCACTTTTTGATCTTCTCTAATTTGATAAACCCTATCTGGCTAATACATGCATGTAAAAATTTAATTACTAATAAAATGTTTCAATCATCAACTCCATTTGGAGGCATTTACTCCAAATAGTTTAAAGAGATATACAAAGTAGTGTTAATTGGTACAGAAAAAATTACTGTATACAAGATGCTAATTAACAGGAAAATGGTTAATTAAAATATAATATATTCACTAAACAGTGTGAAACGATTAAAAGTTATAAAAACAAAGTCTGCGCTCATGTAAAAATACAATTTCTAAATGTACTTTACAAAATTGTATGTACACTGTTCATAGCTACTTTAAAATGATACAGCCTATGGAAATGTTAATATATAAAATGACTATAGGTTATTTTATTCTTTAATTTCCAAACTTTCTATAATTCTATAGAATCAAGTTCATAATTATGGAATATGTTCATTAAGTATGTTTCATTACAAGTATACTTACTGTGATTATGCCAATCAGTTGAGTATAAAAGAGTCCAGTTATTCCAACCAACATAGTAATGGCCATAAAGGCAGCTAGTCTCATTATGGCCAGTTCATGTCTAACAACAAAGAGATCCTATAATAAAGAAAAAATAAAAGTCTTAAAAATAATTTTAATACTTAGTTGCAATAACAATGCAGAACTGAGTCATAATATTTCCCATTATTTTAAAAACTGCATCCACCCTTGAATTTGTTCTAGTTCATAAATACATACTTGAAAAATGAGTAACAAAACTAATGATTTTACTACATTATTGTATTAAAAATAATGAAACTCCTTAATCCTAATGTTGCAAGTTAGGTATGTTCATTTACTATTTGCAGGGGGAAACAAGCACAAAACAGATGGTGGAGGGCCTCCCTGGTGGCGCGCCTCCGTGGTGGTGCAAGGGGTTAAGTTGCAGCACCACAAAGCTATCAGGAGCCACTGCAGCATGGCAGGAGTTTGATCCCAGGCTGGCCAGGGAGCTAACCCACATGGCGCAGCAGACCTCTCCTGTCTCACCTGCTGCTCCCCTTGGCTGTGTATTTCAGGAGATCCGCTTGTTGTGCTCCCCACTCTGTCTCTGGTGAATCCTCTCAACCCCCCCGCACCTTTGGCCTGTACCCCAGTTCTTGTATGCATAAATAAATAAATCTTTAAAAGAAAAACAAAACAGATGGTATATAATCTTAGGTTCTACAAAAAGGAAATTTTACTACCATACAGCTTAAAAGCTTAAATGCACAAACCTGGCTTCTATTATTAAAGTTCAAGTGACCAAGATACACTGAAATTATGTAACTTAGTTAAAAGGAAGAGAAAATAATAAAATCATAAGGATAACTCTCTTTAAGCTTACTTCATTCATTCATTCATCCACTCACCCAACTGCCACTGCCAAGCACTATGTTATGCTGTAAAAATGATAAAGATATGGTCCATGTCCTCAAGAAGTATGCAGTTTATTTAGAGAGATCTCAGCTTTGCACTGAGGATGGTAGAAATGTCAAGACAGGAAGAAGAAATGGAAAAACTATGAAGGAAACTAATTTTATGGCTCAAAATATAAAAGCAAGGGTCTTGAAAGTGAACCAAAGAAATTCTGATGGTAGGACAGGAAAACAAGAAGGATATTATTTACCCCCACTGTTATCAACCAGAGAGATCAATGGAATGACCGTGAAAGAACTCTTTTTCCAAAAGCTGTTGGTAAATCTGAACTAAAAGAACCACAGTAGATAAAATCAGTAAGTGAGAAGAAGGATCCTCAAACATGCTTTTTTAAATACTGCTTCAGATTAAGACTTAAAGGTATACTAGTAACAATACCAAAAATAGGTCACTGAGCATAATGTATTTGCTTGAAACAAAAGAATTAACGTTTTTTCCGTATATCATTGTGATTACCTACCAAATGTAAGCAATAATCTGATTCCTTACCCAAACTGCTCATTGATTAATGTGGAAAAACAAATTTCAATGGGAAACTTAAGATGTCATATTACAGGCAAATATAAGTGATTTCGGAGTTTTAGTAAAGAGTCTAATTCAGAATTGTTGCGAAACATGTAAAGATGAAAAGATGGAGTTATGAATGATATAAAAATTAAAAATAGTAAGTTTTGCTAAAATACCACTTGAAAACACAAATTTGTTCCAACATGACTGATACACTAAGCAACAATTTGATTATAGCATTGTTTGCTCATTGTGACTTGATCTGTGGAAAACCTGAAGTAAACACAGAAAATCATACCCATCTAAATCAAGCCATGTAAAAATACACAAAACACACACCTACCACCCTTGAAACATCTACTCAATTTATCCTAACAACTTCAATTTACCACAAAGCACATTCATCCACATCTGATATTACAATTTCCCTTGTGTTTTCAGATGACCCTCCCTCCATCACTTCACAATAACTTACCTGCTGCAACACTTTCCGATGCCCACTTTCACAAGAAAATTCCAGGTCTCTTTCCGGGCAAATACTATGTTCTTTATGGTATTTATACATTAATTGACCATTTAATCCATGTAAACTGTGCTGCTGTTTTTATTAGGCTCCTACCCTTTTAAGTGTCACAAGTGAAATTTTGAAGTGTTCGGCCTCCATTTTCCCTGTGGTTTCCATTGCCTGACTTTGCATAGTGGGGTGAATTTTAGAAATACATATACTAGAGCTTAATAAAAATTTCATATATGATCAAATAAAAAGATCAAATATCATCTTCTAACAAAAAGAAAAAAATTTAAAATTTACAAATGTTAGGGATAAAGATAAAACTAAAAGACTTAACTAAACAATTATATTTATCATCTGGTTATATATTTACATTTAAGATTAGTTATGCAAATAAAAGATTAGTTATGTAAATCAGTTATCTGAAATACTTTAATTTAGAAAATGCTTTTTATCACTTATATTTTCAAACATAACTGTACCCAAGTTTACACATACTTAATATCTTCAGTAATAAATCTACATTTGAGTCATTAAATCTAGTTCTGCACCATGGGGAACATCATCTTTAATTCTACCTTAGATTTTTTTGATAGAACACTTTCTGAATCTAAAAATTAGCTTGGGAATTTTATCCAAATCACAAGAACCCATTTCCTGCTCATGATCTTTATGATATAATCACTATTATGGCTGAATTCTGTGTCTTGCCAAATTCCTCTGTTAAAATCCTGATCCCCAGCACGGTAGAATGTGACTGCATTTAGAGGCAGAGCCTTTAAAGTGGTGATTTAAGGTAAAATGAGTCCCTTACGGTGGGTGCTAATTCAATCTTGTCCTTTTAAGAGGAAATTCAGAAACACAAAGATAGCAAGAATGCTTCAGCACAGAGGAAAAACTATGTGAGAATACAGGATGAAAGCAGTTATCTCCAAGCCAAGAACAGAGGCCTTCAGAGAAACCAAACCTGCTGACATCTTGATTTTGATCTTCTAGCCTCCAGAACAGTAAGAAAATAAATTTTTGTGGTTTAAGCCTCCCAATCTTTGCTGGCTTGTTCTGGCAGTCTTAGCAAACAAATACAATAACTGTACTTCTTTCTTGTCTTAATTTCTTCCCAATTTTTGTTAAGAAATATGCTTATGCACAGATAATGTACAAACTCTAAGTTCAGTTTAAAGAAAAGTAACACCATGCACTCAATATTAAAACATTTGAAAGTAGGCAGAGGATCCTGTGCATTACCTTCTCATCACATTCTTTCCCTCACTCTGTTCCTTAAAGGTAAAGGTTACTTACTGATTCATTCTTCATACATTTTTGGATACTAATGTATTTCAGTTGCATATTACAAATAACTTCTCCCTCTCTGAGTTTACCTTCTCACTCTTTTTATAGCATTTTTGATAACCTCAAATTCTTAATTTAAATGTAGTCCAGTTTATCAATCTTTCCTTAAGTGCTTTTTATACTGCTTAAGAAATCTTTCCCAACTGAGGTAACGATTACATTCTCCAATTTATCCATCTAAAGGTTTTCAAGGCTTTACAGTACTGCCTTTTTCATTTAAGTTACAATCCACCTGAAATTGGTGTTTACTTTTTGTGCAGTGAAATAGAGGGGTCTGAACTGACTTTAACTATATGGATATACAATTGTTACAGGATGGTTTATTTAAAAAGTTCAGTAATCAAAGATCAAGTATCCATGCATGCAAAAGTGATATGGGCACTCTATTCTGTTTTCTTGATTTACTTTTTTTTTTTTTAAAGATTTATTTTTATTTATTTATACAAGCACTGGGTACAGTCAGAAGCGCGGGAGGGTGAGAGAATTCACCAGAGCCAGAGCGGGGAGCAGAGCAGGCAGAAGGACCGAAGTACACTGCTGAGGGGAGCAGTGGGCGGCAGGAGAGGTCTGCGCGCCATGCGGGACCCTCCTCCGGTGGCCGGGGAGCAGCCGGGGATCGAACCGGTGCTGCAGAGGCTGCGGGCAGCTTCGCAACCCAGCGCTCAACCACTGTGCATCCCTATACTAGTGACAGGTTTTAGTTACTATTGCTTTATAATAATTCTCTATACCTGGTAGATCAAGTCATCCATCTTGCTCTTTTTAAACAACGTCTTGGTTATTCTAAGATACTGGAATTTCCATGAATATTTTAAAATTAGATTTTCACCTTTATAAAATATGCTCAGGTACACACACACATATAACAGTATCTCCAGTAAGCTTAACAATTTCCCTCCTTAGAGATCTCCTGTACTTTTTTGGTTAGATTTAATTCAGGAACTTCCAATTTCTTGATTCTTTTATAAATGGTTTTTACTATTAACTTCATTGTCTAAAGGAATGTATGTTAATATATTCAAACAGAATTGATTTTTGCACAATATTGTTTTGTAGTTACACCTCTTGAATGTTCTTAATAATTCAAAAGAATCCATGGACAAATTATTTACACAGTCACATCATGTAAGGGTAATGATGGCTTTATTTCTTTCAGCAGTTATACCATTTCTTTAATAACAGAGGTGATACTAAGCAGAATGGACATTAATGCCTTCTCCCGCAACATGGAGGATAAGAAGTCAACATTTCACCAGTAAGCATGATAGAATTGTTGTGTATTGGGTTCCTGACTTTTTGGAAATCTTTTATCTGACAAGAGAAGTTTTTAATTCTAATTTGCTAAGAGTTGATAACATGATTATATTCATATGTATGATTTCTTTTTGTAGTCAATGTGATAAAACACATGAACTTATCTATAACAAAAATCACGTTTCATCTCTTAAGATAAGCTCAGCATGATCAAACTGGTTATATTTAACTAGTTTGCTAATACATTGTCTGGGAATTGTTTATGTTCATAATCAGACTAGTAGTCAGTATATGCTGTATATATATAAAATGAGTTGAGGAGTGCTCTCTCATTTTCTATTCTTTTAAAGAGCTTGTGTATGACTGGAATTACAGTTTTCTTTCATATTCGTAAAGTGAAAACTCACTGGTAAAACTGTCAATATTCTTTGCAGGTGAAGTTTGAACTATTCACTTCTGATTATTGGATTAGCCATGTTTCAAATTTCTTTCTGAAATAATTTTCTTCTAAGAGTTT